TCTGCTATTTATAGTAATGTCTTACTTTGGTATCCATATTTTGCCTGTGCTCATTGAATTTGGTTTGCAGTTGCTTGGTTGTTTTTCTTGTAATTTGTGCAATTTCTTTGCGTACACATCTCCACGTCGTATCACCAAAATGTGGACCATTCAACTGCACCAAGTAATTGCTTCTTCTGGGTAATGGCCATTGGTAATATCTGACTATGTTTGGTCTTTGCTGGTCTAGTTACTGCCTAATAAAACTCAATGTGTATCCGTTTACTAGCAATCCGTCTCTCCGTCCAAACTTTGTGTTGTTTTTCGATCGATATATCCTGGGCACAGGGATTTTACTCAGCTGATTCATGAGGAAACATTGCTGATTTTCACTGTATTAAGGTGCGCTGCAGAGTAGTTCCAGACACGATTACACCCTTTCATGACTTCACCTCACCATTGACTCGCTTTTCAACACCGACCGGGACCCAGCACGTAGATAAGTCTAACTTTTCAACGGTGTGATTACTATCTCCTTGTCCGTCGTCTCTCAGAAAAACGAATATATTCGTGCAGACGCCAGTCAGTTGGTCACTTTTGAACAGACTGACTTGAATTTTGACCCGACACAAAAAGTCTGGCAGTTGAAATCAAAGGACGAGCTAGTGTACCGCTTTGAACATTCCTTTGTTCACACAAACAAGCTCCATGTGGCATGAGTTGATAACATGATACTTTTGTTAAAGCGCGTATGCAACATACAACCTGATAGTCCATCAGCTTTACGAGTTGCTATAGTATTTATACATCTGAAGGTAGGGTCACTATATTTTAGACAAGTACGCGCTTGACAGAAAACGTATTGGATATAACAACAATGTCGTTCGTATTGGATGAGAGGCGATCACGGCACACTCTGCGTGACAAACCTTCAGTGCTTTCAAAGTCTTAAGTGGACCGGAAAAAACGATGTTTCAATCATCTGTATAGGTGCTCCTATGGTGCGGTCGGAGCGTATAATGAGTGCCAAAACCAATCACGTAATTTTTCGACAACTTTTGGTGACAATCGCTGGATTTAATGCTGGGCCACGTTTCGCTTTTGACACTAAAGCTTCGTCACGCCAAGTGACTAAGTTCCGATATTAGTCGAGATTTAAGGCTGAAGGAGAACCAATCAGCTAAGTCAAGCTAAATTTCTGTTGGGTGTCGGCCGAGGGATTTTAGTGTGTTAGAGTGATTGAACAAGTGTTGGGTCGGTGCGGAAACCTACATGTATTTGGGTTCTGCCAAGCTCCTCTGGTTCAGTTTATTTGATGGTCCCTCTTGAACGTCGTTTGAACCTTCCGTCCGGCTGTGTGGATGAACCAGTGCTAAGATAGTTGTGTAAGAGGGATGCTGTCACCTTTGGTCTGGTTGGGATTTCCACCCCGATCCCCG